ATGTTTGCTTTAATTGCGAAGATATTTACCAGAGCACAATCGGATCAAACTGCTTGCATATCACTGGTAGCGCCATGGCTATTTGAATTCTTTCAATAATTTTTCACTGGTATGGCTACCTTAAATATCGGGAAAATTGACAGAAAATAATTTTGAATACATGGTTGAATATGCATACCGGACAGATGTTTGAATGCCAATAGATAAGATTTGAACATATTTCCATCAATCAAATGATCAAGTCATGTGTGACCACTCTTGACAATTCTATTTGTCGCGAATGGTCACTTGAATGTCTCGTTCCACGCGGACTTGTCATTGCTGTTTTGATATCTGGTTTCTGAGACAAAATTTTCTCTTCTTTCAAAGCCAATTTGTCCAACCATGTAGTATATTCATTCATGTGATGACGTTTAACGTGACATATAAAATTGAAAGTTGAATCACCAGACTTTTTCACAGTACTACTACAGATTGCCTTGGAATTCGCAATGGTTGTTGGAGTCCAAAGAACGGCAGGAGGGTCGTCGCTCGCAACTGTTGCACTTGAAGCATCACTTGCTTGATCGGAACCAGAAGCCATTTTAAATGAAAGATAAATTATTGATGTGTATATGTGATTATTGCAGTAGAAGAAAACTACTCGTCAAATACTATCGGCGTGAAGCTAGCACGAACAAAAACAATATGTTAGATGAAAACGTTTTTACTAAGTATGTCCCGTTCATGAAAGTTACACCTTTCGACTCAGAATTGAATTCTGCATAAAATGCTGGTACTTTTGTTCACGGGGCAAACTTTGGAAAAATTCTATCTGAATTATAAATAGACCTAAAGTAAACGAACAAAGATATAGACAGAAAAATTTCCAAAGTTTGTCCGGCGAATAAAAGTGTCACCATTCGATGCAGAATTCAATTCTGAGTCGAATGGTGTAGTTTTCATAGACGGGACATACTTAGTAAAAACGTTTTTAGCCAACAAATCGTTTGTTCGTGCTAGTGTTAGCTAATCCTTACAATCCAAAGACTCCTGCCCACTAGACGTTAATAGGCGGAACGGAAGGTAACGGAAAAGGCTGGTGATCTGTATCGTTTCCGTTAGTGTGTGGTAGTCCTCCTTCGTAGTTCGAGTAATGAGTGACGGTGCCGAGGGCTGCGCGATAACGTGGAGTGAGG